AGAGACAAACTTCTTCACACTTGACCCAAAACTCCGAAACTTAGGGACACTTGAAAAACAAAAGCATTTCTCTAGATACAGACACTTATGTAATTTCTAAAAAATAAAAAATTTGTAGGTTTTCAAAATTTTGGCATCACTGGAAGAAATTCAGCTAATATATTCACCAAAATTCAAAATAAATTATATCGTATTATTTGTGAATTTACTTTGACACATAATCAGAACAGATTAATTTTTCTGTCCTACTCCTTTTAGGTATTTTTCCATCATCCGAAACAACGTAACAAAGCATGGCTTGTTCTTTGTTTTTTGGACTCCTTTCAGATTCTGCGCAGTTTTCTTCTGCACAGTTATTTTCTGTATACGGAAGATGATAAAACATTTTCCATTTAATTTTTTGGGGAACTTTTTCCAAATTTTGAAGAACAGGAGAACCATTGAATATGGCCTTGCTGAACTACAGTATTGGAAAACTTGATCCAAAAGGCAAACATTCTAACATAAGGTCCAAGAACTAATGATGCCTGTATCTTGGGGTTCCACTAATATTTCCGACATCTTCAACAAAACTCGAAAGTGAACACATCAATAAAATCAATGGATCGGGGCCCACATTAATCAAGGCCCCAAAAAAAATCCTTGCCGAATAATGATGTCTGCTTTGCGTAAAATCTCAAGAATGAAATGAAAAATTTACTTCTCTCACTGGATCACCAACCAAAAAAAAAATCCCATCCACTGGAAATAAATCCCCAAACATTCTCACTGATGTGCGTAACACGTGGAAAAAATTGCGTTTAACAAAATTTTATCAAAATGAATCCATTTGAAAAAAAAAATCAGAAATAAACTCTACTGAATTTCATTCAAATAGAACTCACCCTAGTCTCTTTTTCCGTGCAAAATTCAGCCTCGAACGACAAACTCTTGGCCTGCGTGAATTTCTTGGCATCCTCTTCACTCTCGTAGCTGATGGCACACCGATCAGTCAGCAATTTCATACCCGCATACTTGAAAGTCCTTCCAGTGTCAATCCCGTAATTTGAAGATGGATAATATTTGATATCGTCCGGTTGACCGGATCTAAACCGCTTTGTGACCCTTGGTGACACCGGAAACGACTCAAAGGAATGCAGAGTCTTCAACACCGACGACTTGGTCAAATCATTTCCAGCATACATCCGAAATGGCACTTCCCTAGTTGCCGACATGCACACCAAAGACCCGCTTTCTCCATAGAAAATTGCCTCCACTGTGTCCATGCTGAAGTCTTTCCTCTGATTCAAATCCACAGTCACTTTGTGCAATTGGATACTGTTGACCGGAATCGTCACGGCATCTGCCAACAACATTCCTGCATTGTCCACGTTGAAGACTAGCATCCGGAAACTAGGCGTCATTTCCGAAGACACAGCCACAGAGAAGGTGTGAACATTTGAGCCCATTGGGACGTCGATCAAAGACGCATGCACTATGTTGTTCTTGGACATGATGACGTAGTAGAACTTCTCCATGTTGAAAAAGTTGTTCCTCACGTGGAACACGACGTATTCATTCACATTCGCCACTTGGGTACTCGTACTGAGATGCAAGTACTTTTGATTTGCCGTTGCACCAAGATTACCCGCACTGATGTCACCAGAATATGTTTTTGCGCGATTGATGACAATTGATTCACTCACTGACACTCCGTCAAGAGAGTTGAAGGTCGCGCGGATTCGAATCTGGTCTCTATCAGGGGGATTCTCCCATATAATGTGATACAATCCTTCCCCGAGATGGTCTTTCACGTCCGGCACAGGGTCCAAGACTAACAAGTTTGATCCGGATTGGAGTTCTGCTTCCGGAAGTGGCTCGTGATCATCATGCGACACAAAAACGTACGTTTCCAGGGGCATTCCGGGCTTGAATACCGCGTTGTTCGTAGATAAGAACTGCACTTTCAGCTGTGATCTTATGATGCGACTACGGGAATACCCACGACTGGTCATGCGGGAGAAGTATTCTTCGACTATTGCTTCAACCTCAACCTCGATCCCGTTGTAGTTCTGACCAGTGTTGCAAGCACGAAGGGCTTCCATGGGGAATTCAAAAGGCACGGGCTCATAGAACTTGATGTAGTCGGTGGAATCGGCAATTGTGTAGTTCAAGGTCTTGGGGGAACACGGAAAGTCCGGACGGGGTTTGCATTTCAATACAACTTTCATTATCCCGCGGATATTCAAGTCATTTGTCGAGGCTACTTCAATTTCTCCACTAATCACCCCCTCAGATTCAAGAATGAAAGGGTCCATCCCTACAAAGACTTCAAACCGACGATCCCAGTATTTCTCCACCAGGAATTTCTTTTCTTCTTGTTGTCCTTGAGCGTCTACAATGACTTTCCACAATCCAGGTTTCGCACTGCTCGGTAACGAGTAAGATACGGAAGCAACGCCGGTGTTCGCTTGTCTGGATGGCCAGCGACGCATGATGAAGCCATTTGGGTCTCTGACGTAAATATCCACTGGCTCGTTGAAGGGCTTCAGGTCCATAGTCAAAAGCACAACGCGGATTCGAACGCTGTCATCACCGTTGAATACGGGTTTATTGATTTGAATAAGAATTGTGAGGAATCGCGGAGAGAAGAACAAGGCAGTGTCTCGCGCAAAAGCGGTTCCACCAACGGAGTTTGGATAGTTGCCTTCCACGCGTAATCTGTAGTCTCCGTCGGAGGATGATGAGACTTTGAGGAGAAGATTATGCAGGGATGCCGGGAAACCGTGTTGAATGGCATGCGCAATTTCCACGCCATTGCGTTGAATAGATGCTCTAATCTCGAGAGGTTCATCCCCAAATTCGTCCTTTTCTCGAGGATCCAAAAGAACAACAGTAACGCGGAAGACCATGTTTGGACGGACGGTGTCTCCAGCCAGAACAACGTAAGATCTATCAAACAAGAGACTCATGCATATGCATATTTGCAAACTTGGAAAAATGTGAAAATTCAACTTACATTGGTCCCGAGGTCATAGGACCTAGAAATTCACGGACTGTCATCCTTTGACCGTCCCCACCATAGCCATCGCATCGAGGCTCACTTTCATCAATCAATTGCAAATTGACAGAATTAAGGTACAACGCTATCACAGTTAGGCAAGCGCCTAAAAACTTCCGGCACACCATTTCAACACAACCTGGCTAGTGAATCATAGCCATAACACACACCATACCAAATCTGCAATTAAACATGAATTTCAGGCCAGACCATTCAATTTATCCCGAAAAATACAGGGGCACACTTTCTTTAAGATCCTGCGCTGTATTTCATCCATTCACCCCAGATTTTGAACAATGGATACAGACTCTGAGATCTTATCTTACACAATACGGAACACTTCCAAGTACGCGGCCATGTGCATTCTTGAGGCAGATTTCACAAAAGCCTTGAACAAAACGGTGGACACCCTTCCAAGCTGCCAAATGCAGGGCAGCACACCTTATTAATACAGGTGCTCATCTACACACAGCTGCATACATTCTAAAGATACTCTGGTTTCAGAAACATCTATACCATAGTACATATAAATTGCCAAAAGTAGTATGGCTTTGCGCATGAATTTCTCTACCGACTAGTTCCACAACAACTACTACGATAGCTTTGGTTCAATATGGTAACAGAAATTTGACAAAATGTCATCAAGCAAGAAGCTGACTGGGAATATTTTTTCAAGCTGACTTTGTAACAGAAGCTGTCTCCTGTGTTTCTAACTGAAGGAGAATGATCAAGTATGTCAATACTAGCCCTAGAACCTGTACAGAAAACCCATGCACAAGTGGCATTAAAGAAACAATGAACTTGACTGTTTTACAATCATCACTCACAGCAGGTAAGATACCCTTCTTGAGCTCAAAAAACCCAACAACAGATATACTGGGGCCTTTGTACAAAGAATCCTGTCAAGATCAATATCAGGTAACCCATGAGATGGTCAACTCCCCTTCTTGCATGATTCATAAGGCAAGGCTCTCCCCAAGTCACAAACCTCTCTTCCTATTCATCAAGTGCACAAATTTGGGATGAAGAAGTCTAATTGAGAAAGTAAAAATGGAATCAACCTGAGAAACAATGCTGGGTCCACTGAGAATGAAGCTGGTGATCAATCCTATGTCATGAACACCACAGAAAGTCCGAACAGTGTCCAGACATTTCATGTTTGACACTGGTTCAAGAATTGTTCTGAGCACAATAAAAGAGCTGAACAGTTTACCAAGAAAGAGCTCAGCAAGAATCACTGCCAGAGTTAGACCAAAGACTGTTGAGAACTTGTCATACCATTCCATCACATCTAAATCTTTTGTTGTACCAAAAGGATACTGATGAGAGTCCTTTATTCAATTGTTCAGATACTCCATGTGATACTTGACAGTCCTAGTCGTAGACCAAGTAAACCCAGCCATAGCAAGTACATGCCAGGTATTTTGCAAAGCAATTACAGTTTATTCTACAGGTTCATCATGATAATTAACAAACAAGTAACAGAATAATTTTGACAAAATTGCTAACTCTAACCATACTCTCAAACCTTGAATGATGCATGTCTTTAATGATAGGCAATGACCACGAGATCAATGGCAAGTCTGGCACATATTTGATACCATGCATATGCAATCACAAATGCCACTTCCTTGGTACTCATATTGGAGGGTCAGCAGACATCATTTGCTCCAAGCCTGTTCAAAATCCTACACAAAATACAACTAATGAACATCAATCTACACAATATACAACAAATGAACATCAATCTACACAAAATACAACAAATGAACAATCTGGAATACTGCTGCCTGTCAGAAGAAGTTCTTAATCACATAATAAAAAATCACCATTGATGAAAGTTCCATGCCAGAGCCCCAACCAAAGTTGAATAATCAAATTCAAGAGCGTTACTACAACTCCAATTGACAACCAAGAAAATTCAGGCTTCCCCAAGAGAATGTTCTTTGTGAGATACAACTCATTCCACAACAAACCCAATTTCCTTCGCCATGGTGGTAAAGCTGATAAACAAAATAGAAGCTCATCACACAAATCTGATATTTACACAGAGAAGGCAGAAGAGCATCCATGATCATCATAATTCACCCCCAACATCATAAAATGAAACAGCTTGTCCAGAAGTCACCCAAGCAGATGAAAACAAAGTCAGAAAAAATATGGGACAAAAATAAGTTTCGCAGGTGATTTTCAGCTCTCCTCCCACAACTGCCAGAAATTTTTACCTCTTTGTCAAGAGAGACCTGGAGAAAAGGTTTGTTCCGGCACATCATGAAGTCTTTGCTCACTTCTATGCGCTTCATGGTCACCTTAATCGCTAGGTTCATACTGCATTTTGCGTATTGGCATCCGCACCGAATCCCTGCACGGGAAAACAATTCGGCAATTGACAATGTCCTCGATTCAACCAGGAAGAGATCAAAATACCAACAAGAGAATAAGCATTCGTTTGAGATATTTCTTCACAACGACACATGAGTTCTCCCTTGGAGAAGCTGTCTTCAGGGTAACTAATGCACGCATCTGGTTGACAAAAGCTCTGCAAAATACATTCAATTTACAATAGTTTCGGCAATTTTAAAGTTACAGTAAGTCACGGAGATGTCGTTGAATTGGTCAGATAATTGATATTTTGATGCTTTGTTTTTTTAAATTTCGGGCAAGATCCCTCAAACATCAGGTTCGGCTCGTCATGACATATTTACTAATGTTCCGGCAATCTAAGATTATGCATAGTCGATCACAGATTGCATAATCAGTGAAGTTAGGCATGACTTAAGTTACTTATTCTCAGATCATTCACCATTGGTAGAGACAGTCTGCTCAATGACAATATTCACAGACACGCAAAATTTGGTACTTTCCTGTTATCTCAGTATCCATTTTTCTTTGCCTCGTAACTTCAGTATTCGTTAGGTTAGGTCAGGTTATGTTAAATGAAAGATATTTGTAACTAATATAACCTGACCTAACTGCCTCCCAAAATCAGTTTCAGCAGAATGCGGAAAAATAAAATTCACAGTTTCTGGTAGGTGCACGGAAAGTAGGTACTAAGATAACAAGAAAGTAACCGAAATTCTCACCTCTTCTGCTGCTTTTCTCCCGCAGTTTCCGCAACGTAAACGCGGAATTCATAGTCGACCCCACGGAGTTTCCCGGGGTCCCGGATCGCGGATAGCAGGGTTGCCGATGCTGGACATTTCAGAGGGAATTCAAAGTAGAACGGGTGCGCATTGGCACCCAGCTTCTTCAGCAGCAGCTCCTGAAAACGAGTGGGTGTTCTGGCAGGCATTTCATCTCTTGGTGGGTAAATTTGGTTTGTAGTAAAACAAAGGTCCTTGCGCAACGTTGAGCCGACAACGTCGGGGTCATTGCAACCGTATCGAAACGCAGGGAGCACTTTACCGAATACTTTTTTGTTGTTCAGGTCATCCGGGTTCATCAAAATGACCCCACCTATGAACACAACATACCAATATCTAGACACAAGCTCCCATCAACATGGCTAAATTATTCTTTTTCAAATCACCGATAGGATCAACGTGAGTGAGATGGTCCACAAAGTCCTGCTTGCCAAGGTATACCGTAATCTAGACAAGAAAATCATTATCAGCCAAATGAAAAGAATCAAAATGAAAACACCGTACTGTACTCACATTTCCATTCGGAGAACTCTTCTTAAGTACCCGGATACGTTGCCGCCTGGAATTATCGTCCATGGCTCAGACCTCAAGAGACGATTTTCAATAGCGTTCACTCAAGTATGGATTTGTTTTCTTCCGAAGAAAATTCCAGAAGATTACCAGCATGTAAACGAAGCAAGTTTCATTTTGAGTGAATACACAAGCTCACAAACACGAGATAAAATAAGAAGAACCCCAGAGAACTGGTTCAGAAATAAGGTGGATTTTTTCCCCCAACCGACTCTTGCAAGCCTTGAAAACACACATTGCCACTCAACGGTAGAAAATCCAATTCAACATCAGGCATTCCACCATGAATTCTTCAGTGGACGATTGATCTCTCTGCACAATAAAGGATTATAGAGTTCAGGTCTCCTCAAACACGACGAAAACTATATTTTTCGTCACCGATTACTTCACCTTCACAACATCTAACATCGAGGTTGTGTCACACAGTTAAAATAGGAAGAAGTTGATGCTTCAAAGGTCAAGACTAGGATGATGTAAAAGTGATCCCTCTCTTCCACCTCTCCACTTCCGATCTCCGTCCAGTTCCACTCCTATGATCCAGGTAGGATTGTAGACAGTTGCTCTGTAGTTCTTGGCTTGTATGGTAGATGTCGTTTCTGACAAATACCTTACTTTCCCCCCTTTTAAAAAAAAGGAGAAGACCTGGGTACCTTAAAAAGAAGAAAAGAAAGGTGATCAGCGTTGGGGTAAGTGAACAGCGTAAGTATGATCGTTTTTGCATAATGGGACGGTGGGGGGATTTGGCTTGAAATTATAGTCATGGTCCCTTAAGGGGCATTGGTATGGTGGGAAAGTCGCAGTAGATCATTTTAGCAAATTCATGTTCACCAAGCCGGTGAAACAGGCCAAAGCAACTAATGTTATCCCTTTCCTCGCAGAAATTTTTCAACAATGCAGTTTGTTTGAATGGATCCATACAAATTGTGATTCAATCTTTTGTTCTAAAGCCTTTCAATTCTTTCTTAGAGATGCTGGGGTGCAACTGCACATTGCACAGCCAACCCATCCATAGAGGGCAATGGTTGATGTTTACGCGCAATTTGTACTTTGGGTCAAATTCAAGCCAAAGCAGTAAATGGAGAGGATACCAAATGGGATGAATCTTGTGCTCAATCTACTCTAGCCTATAACAGACCTATCCACTCATCAACTTTAGTTGCACCACAAGAAGCATTCTTTCAAGTTCCAATGCATTTAGATGCAGACCAAAAATTTAACGCACCAAAGCAACAACTTTCCAATTCTCTCACAAATTGCAAGCGAAAATGAAAAGGCACGACTTTCTTTTACATCTCAAGCAAATAGTAAAAATTTGTATCACTTTAAGCCTGGAGACGTTGTTACTATAAGGCCTAGAATCTCCATGGTTAATCAACATGCAGCAGACAGACTGGCTTGTTCCACTCTGCTTGCTGAACTTATACTGTTTTTGAAAACCTTGTTTGTCTGACCTTGAAATTTCAATGAAGTCAATAACTGAACTATTTTCTCCTGGGCAACGGTACCATTCATTTCTTCCTTTCTTTGCTGTAAAATAGGAAGTAAACCAGTATATGTTGCATCTTTAGGAAAGTTTCTATAGGTTCAGCCTTGCTTTGGTACTTCAGGTGTTTCATTCTATTGTCCAGATCTGTGTTTTTAGTTGTCAATAAGCTGAACAAAGCACTGTCAATTGTTTCATCTGCAGGGGCATTGTTTTTGGCATGATTAAATATTTCAGTTGTAATGATATTGGATTGTTTGACCAATTCTCCTGCGTTGATCAAAGATTCTTATGTCCAGTAATTGTTAGGAACGCAAATTGGATACATCTCTACCAATACAACACCAAATGCTACCTGGAAAGTTGCGTATGGGGGACGTTTTATCAAATCTCTTTAGGTTTGATGACGTACCTTTGTCATTGGTGGGGATTTCCTTGATTGTGAGGGAAAAAGACACATCCAGTAATACAGTTGAACCTGCTGGTTAAACTGCCACCCTTGCTTCCTGCCACTTTTTCCTGGCAAACAAATCTTCTCAAGCTTGAAGGGATGGGAAAACCCCGTTTAACCACCATCCGCCAATGTTTTCTGCCAAACAAACAGGATTTTGGCACTGTTTTTCACCCCAATAAACTGCAAATTTTTTGCTCCTCTCTTCAAGGCTTTTTTTTCTGGGTATTATTTCTCAAGATTCCATTTATCAAGTCCTTTTATTAATGTCTCTTGGACTGATTTTGTCCAGACTTTACAAAATTATGCACCAGCAGAAATTTGTTCCTGGTATCCCCATACATTCTCCAGGTACCAAATTTCTTCATTCTGTACTTCTTGGGGGACATCCACCTCCCAAGCAATATTCCCTAAACTGCCATAAATATTTTTTTAATTGCTTCAGGATGATGAGAAGCTCTTCAAAGTTGATTATTTCAAGGTGGGTTAATTTAGGTCAGTTTAGGGTAAATTAGAATGGATTAAATAAATGTGTGCTTCTTTTTTAAATTTCTTTTGAGTGAAACCTCAACATGAGTCTTTCCTGAAATTGGTTTAGATGACCTCAAGAAACCAAGCATGAAAAAATAACCAAATGAAGAGGAGGCTTGTAGAAAAAAGCAAATCACAAGACATTCACGAATAAAAATTCTAAACAAATTTGAGAAAAATGAAATTATAAATTTTTAAATTCAAGTTAAATTTTGTCTGATCTACTTGTATGTGATGGCTTTATTCTTGTGAATTTTGCTAGTGAAACAGAACAGAATGAATATGTAATCCAGCTGCATACACTGTAAATCATTCCTACAAGCATTTGCACTGTACTCCCTTCCATCTCAATATTGTTGTCTTCCATCTTTCAATTTTTGATCACTTGCAAAATGCATTTACACACATTCTTTTACAGAACTTAATTCAAGAAAAATGGAAAAAAACCTGTATATCTTAGCCAAAATTAATCAACTCAACCAAAATTAACCTACATTTTCTAAATATTATCTGAATTGAATGAACTGATCCCAACCAAGTTTGAACAATATCCTCCTGAAAGCTGAAAGTCATGATTGAAATTATTTGTACCATTTAAAGATGCAAAGAATGAGATATTTATGTTGCTTCAAGACAAAGAATGAAGAGTCATCTTCACCAAAAACAGGATGGAGAGGGATAGAGGTTGAAATATTTTTTTATTTACCCAGTACACTTCCCTTGTTAAACCGCCAACCTGTTGAACTGCCAAAATTCTGCTGCACAAACGTTGGCGGTTTAACAGGTTTTGACTGTAGTATACAAATATATATTTTCATAGCCTTTCTGTACACTTCCATAATTTCAATAATTTTTTGGAACCATGCTTATCCTTCAACAGCAGACTGCGCACTGGTGATTGCGCAGTTCCCCTTTTTCATTCCTGTGGAGAGGCATTATTTTTTCTTCCTCTCCTGGCAGCAATGGCCTCAGCCATGCATGCCTGTTGCCTTGTCAGAGGACGTTGCACCAGGCTTTTTGTTTCTTTCTTTGGCTGCGTCCTTGTTGGTAACACATTATCTGACTCACCTCAGGTGGGAACGTAAGGCAGTTCTTGTGATTCATGATTTTCCTGTATGTTCCGACCAAACTTTTGGCGTAAAAAGGGGTATCACCAGCAAGCATTTTGTAGAGAACTACACCAACGGACCACCAGCAGTCACATTCCTTGCCATATTCGCCTTTACCATCCTGTGAAGAGAGAGAATTTGTCAAGTCATACATACACGCATCGATCATTGTATGAAAACAAGGGACATGAGCCAACGAGAAAATGTACGAACAACTAATAATTTACGACCTATGATGAGTATAGTTTCACAGCACCCAAGAACGGGTGATGAATCCTGTCTTTGCAATGATGTCGCGTTCTTCCCAGAAAAATGCCGAATTGCTGCGTTTCATCATTTCGAACTTGGACAATCGCTTCATGGCGAACACATTCCTTGAACTCCTCTTCCGCACCAATTGGACTTCTCCAAATGCACCACAGCCTATCACCTGAAATCAAAACACGTCAACACTTTCAACCACGATAAATTCTTCATCGGCAACTTATACCATTATGACTTATAAGTCTTTGGGTTTCATTCAAAACCATTCGATCTGCTCCGCACATTCTTTATAGCGGTTGAGGAATGACTCGATATTCTAGCTGCGTTTCAAATGGGGATTGTTGCAGTTGGACACGATTGCCTGGATCACGTCCAACAAGCCATCTGTCAAGAGCGGCAAGGTGGGACTCCTCATCAAAGTCTCCAACTCTCGCAGTTGTCTTTCTCGTTCCTCGTCCCCCATGTCGCCTATTTAAAGGTTCACAACTCCGAATGCACTAGTTCTGCATCTCGAAGAGCTATACAAGACATACCTCAAAGGGTATTGCAACTTTATCACAAAGGTAATTCGCAATCAGATGTTGGATGGATGCGTCTCGGGCAAGCCATTCCGCACATCATAACGAACAAAAACGCATCTGCAAAACAAAGAAAATCACCGTCAGGAGTAACATGGACAGTTGGCGTAAAGAACTCCTACAGAAACCTCCAACAAGAATACTGTATTGTAAATACAGCACTATCTGAGTACACCACACACACAACAATCCAACACTGAACAATGAGGATTCGAAGAGTAAAGGGACTTCTTTCACGAACACAGAGTCTATTTCTTGCACAACAGTTCCACTGAGGTCAAACAGTCAAGTATCAGAATAAGTGTCTTGGTCAAGAGCTGATCCTTGGAGCGATTGTGGATGGATTGTTTGTCTCACTCATTTCGTCGGCGTAGGCAGCAGCTTGCCGGGAATTCTCGGTGTTTCGGACCATGAAACTGAATGTGTCTCCATGAAGTAGTCAATATTGATGGCTCGAGCCCCCAATAAGGATTTGTGGTGGTATAATAGGACTTCTTTCACAAACACAGAGTCAATTTCTTGCACAACAGTTACACTGAGGTCAAACAGTCAAGTTTATAAAGAAGTGTCTTTGTCAAGAGCTAAAGGCAACGTGATGCGACGTTATGGTACAACTTCCACTCAACGCAGCTCCATTCAACG